AGGACACATACTCATTGGAGGCTGTCTGATACCTAATTTGAGGTCCCTGTGCTTGTTCCAGTGGCTGTTGGGTCCTGGGAGAAGCTGCACAGGTGGCTGTTTGCAGGAGGACCTCCTGCCTTGTGTGAAGAGTGGTGTTGTCCAGCATGGGGTGGGGGGTCCTTCCTACCTGCTTAACTGAAACTCCAATGGGGTTCTTCCTCTCCCAGAAGAGAAACAGGAGAGTGCATGGACAATTTAACTTGGCCTGCTTTATCATTTAGAAGTCAAGTGTAAAATGTTTTTTTCCCTCAAGAACCTCTGAATGTATGCCCACTTTTTGCATACTGATAACAGGATTTGATTTATTTACCCCAAAAAGTCATTGGAATATAGATGCCCACATTCAGTTAGTAAAGAGAACACTTTTTGACTGAATCTCAGTTTTTCTGGTGTGTGACAAGTAAAGGATTAGTGTTTTCCTTTCATTTCTCCCCTTAACGCACACAGTAGTCATTGGGCTGTTATTGATAGGTTGGCTGATGCAGAGTCATAATAGTCCTTTCTCTTTAGGCTGAAATGATTACTGTGGAAAAGAATGTGGCACTGTCCATATTGTCCTAACTGGACCCTTGTCTTCGGGAGAGTCAGCTCGGTTGGGTCATGTGAGCTATGTTCTCAGCCCCCTGCTGACAGAGCCTCCTTTAATTGTCGTGGTCCCCTTTTCCCCAGTAGAAAGATGGAGATTTTCCTCCCTCAGGGACTGTCCGCACAGGACAACTAAATCTGACTACTAATCAAAGCTTCAGAGGATTTCACAAACTGAGTGCTGATGTATGTCATTCAGTGACACCATGGCACATGCTTCAGTAAGCCTGGGAATCACTATGGGAGCATGGTAAGAGTGTTGCACCCCCTCAGTGCCACCCAGAGGCACTGTGTGTCTGGAGTTTTGGACAGTCTCCCCGGGAGATTCTGGTATAAACGGTCAGTGGGCCACACTGGTGGAACGCTGCAAGACAGGTGGCTGCTCTCTCCCACAGCTGTCCCTGTCACCTGCCTTGAGAAATATGAAGCACATGGCATGTGACAGGAGGCTGCCATCAGGGAGGGTTCAGGTCCATCTGCTCACTGGCCACAGAGAGCTGGGGCTGCCATCTGGGGGAAGGTTTTCAGGTCAGTCCGCTCAGTAATATTGACTGTGACTGGATTGACCCATGACAGTTATGTTTGTGGGGGAGGGAGAGACAGTGGTTGCTATTTGCTCATAGTTGGTCATGATCCCTGATCACTGAGAAGCCGCTGCCAAAATCCCCTTAGGGATTTGGTATAGACCGCATGGACAAGTGAGGGTCTTCCCAGCCCCCCACTTCCCACCAGCCCACCTGGCATCAAGAAGGACAAGGCCAGAGGCACGTGGGCATGACCAGGAGCCCACCTGAGCTACTGCAGCCCTGGAAAGCCTCTTCTCTCTCCCATGATCTGGATCTAGATTTTAAAGGCATTTCCCCACCCAGTCCCGTAAGCCCTTGGACCACATTTTTATGGAATTATTCTTGCCTCTCAGGGCATCACTCTAGACTGACTTGAAATATTTTGTTTGTTTAGTTTTGTTCTATTCGCCATTCGCAGTCTATTTCTAGTCTCCACTGTCTTTTGAATTCTGGTTGTATTTTCAAATATGCCAGAATGTTTCTCCCCAATCCTGTCCCCTGTAAGCATGGTGATCCAGTTGTTACTTTATGGTCCCCATCATAAGCCACTTGAAAAATAGTGATGAACCCAGACCTTGGGGGTGCTGCATTTTGAGGGGCGAGGAACCTCTCTGGCAAGAGGCCATGGATCGGATGAGTGAGGAGAGCCTGGCTGGTGTGTCTGCACCGCTGCCTGTGTCCCACCACCACACGCTTGCTGTTCCGGTGTTGCAGCTTTCCTCTGAGTGCTCGTTGCACAGGGCTCGCTACTGCGCATGACAGGAGCGCATGTTGCTGTAGGTTACGGATGACCTCGCTCGCTTGTGCTGCTGATAAAACTCAGGGACTGATAAAGCACAGGTGGATCCAGAGGCTCAAATGATGTTCTGTCTTTCTCATCCTTCCCTTGGCTCCTTGTTTTCTTCAGTGTTGGCTGCAGACTTAGGTAAACCCTGGCCATGCGGTGGCTTGTAGCTGCTCAGCAACCCTGCTGGTTTCCCAGTATGAGGGCCCATCCAGCGAGGTCTCCAGGCAGTCCAGTCTGAATTGTCACCCTGCCCCTGCTCTAGCTGGGGACCCATGGTGCTTTGATTGGCTGGGCCTGGGCCAGGCCTGCTCTGGCCACTTCTCCCACAGAAGACTGGGGCTCTTTCCAAGGCAAGGGGATATGGATGTTGCACAGGCAGAAACAACAGATTCCATTTCCAGGATGGAAATGAAATATTACTTGGTTCAAAGAATCTTCCCAAGCACTGAGAACTAAGTGTCCCTTCCCATGCCAAGTAGACTGTGGCTTTCGCATGGCGTCTGCAGAGCTCCCAGGGCATTTTGGAAGGCCTGACAGAAGTGTGTGCTGTCCAGAGTGACACTTACACAGGCCGGCTGGTATGTCTGACTTAGTGCTGTTGGTTGGATTTTATCAGTTCAGTGTGCATACGAGTGATTGTCTTGTGCATCAGAAACTCTGATTCTTAATAAAATGATTTTTATTAATACAATTTCAAAACAGGCTTTTCAGGACTGGGGCTGGAGTGAGGTGTGGTTGGGGTTGTGGGCATTGGGAGCCCCAAGCATCTCATCCAGGGAAATTGGTGATGCCTTATGGCTCCTCTTCCAGCCTGCTTGGTAGGCACAGAAAGATTGTTTGCCTTCAATAGTAAATCCCAACTCAAAGTCATTTTGCTGTCTCCATGCAAAAATATTTAAAGTTATAACAGAATTGTACAAACTCAATGCTTTGTTCATCACTTATCATAAAATAGTTCTAAGTAGTACCTAGTGATAGAATTGGATTTCTAGTTACTGATGTTCTAATGACGTCTGTCCCTTTGGCTTTAGTTTATGAAAAGGAGTCTTGCCACTTTTTGGGGGTGGGGTGCTGTCTTGGTCTAGACCTTTAACAAAGTTTATTTTTCCCTCTGGCTTGGACAGTCCCCTGCCTCTCTGCCACCCACTGTCCCTCATATCTGGGCTGGAAGTCCTTAATAAGTGATTGGATGTTTAGTCCTGTGAGCTGACCGCAGTTCCCTAGGCTCGAGTGAAGAACTCCCAAGGTAACAAATGATCCTGTTTGAGTTGCTTTTGCATGTATGTTATTTCAGGCTCAGCAAACTGGAAGTGCCAAAATGAGAAGGAACATTTGGAAAGTGGAGCATGCAAACCATTCAAAAAAGAGTAAGAACAAAACTCGGGATCTAGAAATAACGTAATTGTTCTTCAGGATGGTGTGTGTTCAGGGCTGGACTTTTAGGAGTTGGCACCCGGCAGATGTTTGCTGGGAGGGGAGAGTGTTTATAACCCAATCCTGAGGTTGATGGGGAGAGGTTTTAAAATGGGGAAAATGAGGTCTGAGGTCCACATGACAAGTGCAACAGAGCCCCAGAAGTCCCCAGTAAAAGCCAGAGCAGCCTGGGAGTACCTTGGGCTCCTGCTGGCACTGCTGTGGCCCTGCAGCCCCTCACGCATCATGGCTGCAAAGTTCAGGTGAGGAGTACAACCCAGTTGGCCTTGAACATAGTTTCTCCTACAGGAATCTCTCATCCTCAGATCTCCACCTCCTCACCAGCTTCTGAAAGCTGCTCTTGTCCAAGCTTTACGAAAATGGCGGGCAGCCATTCAGATTATGTAGACTATATATTTTTCTGACTGACACATATTATATCAGCTTTTTCCTTCAAAGCCTAAATATTTCAGAGAGACCGCTGATAGATGCCTTGCAGGTTGAGACCGCTAGAGGAAGCTCATGCCTTGGTCTGGCAGCCTCCTCATCCTTTAGGATACGCTGGGAGCAATTTGGCAGAAAGTCCTTCCCAGGCCTGCCTTTGAAGGCCCCCAAGAGCCAGCTGAGTTGGTTGTTCTTGCTTTGCATCCTCAGATCTCCTGTGCCCACCTCTATCCCCTGCTAGACTGGCCTTTCCTGAGGACAGGTGCACTGGTTTTAATCTGTTCCATGAATTTATTCAACAGTGTTTCCATCCGGGTCAGATACAGTGCCAGGTGCTGGGTGCTCGCTGGTGAACAAGACCAGGGTCGTGCCCCAGAGCCCCCTGTTGGGGCCGTGGGCCTCACTCTAGCTCAGGAAATGCCCTTCTCTGGAAAGAGCGGGTGGGGGTGTTTGTAGCATAGGGCTGGGTGGACCCATTAATGTGTAACCCCGGGCCTCCATTTTCTGCTGTGTCAAATGAGGGGATTGGGGTAGAACTAGTTTACTTTTATGGCTGTATTAGCTCTGGGCAGATGCTGGAGACATTGGAAGCCCAGCAGAAAGCCTTAGCTGTGTCTAGAAGAGTAGTTGGGAACCTTTATAAAAGGTCAGGAGAAAAGTGATGCTCATGGACCAGTTAGAACCGCCATTCTAACCTGCCTTGAAAGCCAAATGGGGAGCAGCTTTAAAGAATCAGAGCGGCATTTGGGAGTTAAGGGACTCCCAGAGCTTTCTTATTCCTACAGATAATTTTGACTCTGTCAGGACAGGCATCCCCTGTGCTATGCTGCCTCTGTGGCCAGCTTTTCCTGTGTGATGAAGATACAGGAGAGCCGTCCAGTGTAAGTGCTTTGAAAACAGAACAAGAGTCACCATGTTTACTTCTTTTTTCCCAAAGGCTTAAACTTGACTTTAGATTTTCTTCATTATTCACTTGTAATACTGATCTTACCATAGTTTTGAAAGAAAGATGGAATATCTTTCATCCTAGGGAGGCAGGAGTGTATCCACTCGCCCCCCACCCCCGCCGCTCCCCAGTCCCTGCTGTTCACAGACGTATGTGAGCCAGAGCCTCCTGCGGTTCCGAGGAGCTCCGGGCACAGTGAGTGTTCTTTCTTCCCTAGGTCATGCCTTCCGGCTTCTCAGACCTCAGGCTCCAGTGGGAGAAATGACAGTCAGGGGTCCTGCTGCAGATCTGTTACGGAGGCTGAACCTTTGCAGGGCTCAAGCTTGCCCAAAACAGGAAAGCTTCTCTCTTTGAAGGGCTTTATATTGGTAACAGAGAATAAAAATGACGACTTCATCTATCAGACGGCAGATGAAAAACATTGTGAACAATTACTCAGAAGCTGAAATAAAAGTCCGGGAGGCCACCTCCAATGACCCATGGGGCCCATCCAGCTCTCTGATGACTGAGATCGCAGACCTGACCTACAACGTGGTGGCCTTCTCGGAGATCATGAGCATGGTGTGGAAGCGGCTCAATGACCACGGCAAGAACTGGCGGCACGTGTACAAGGCGCTGACGCTGCTGGACTACCTCATCAAGACGGGCTCCGAGCGGGTGGCCCAGCAGTGCCGCGAGAACATCTTCACCATCCAGACCCTGAAGGACTTCCAGTACATCGACCGCGATGGCAAGGACCAGGGCATCAACGTGCGTGAGAAGTCAAAGCAGCTGGTGGCCCTTCTCAAGGACGAGGAGCGGCTGAAGGCTGAGAGGGCCCAGGCTCTCAAAACCAAAGAGCGCATGGCCCAGGTCACCACCGGCATGGGCAACAACCAGATCACCTTCGGCCGTGGCTCCAGCCAGCCCAACCTCTCCACCAGTTACTCAGAGCAGGAGTACGGCAAGGCCGGGGGGTCGCCTGCCTCCTACCATGGCTGTGAGTAGTGGCCGTGCTCCCCGCCCCTCATCAGAGTGCATGGGGCAGCAGGCAGGGTGGGCGCCCTGGGCTAAGTGAGAGCTTGCACCTGTCCTCCATTCTCAGCTTCAGTAGCACAGACAACAGTGCCCTTGGTCTGCTTTCCATCCCTTGGCTGCTCTGGCTCGGGGGACCTGCTGCTGCGCTGTGCTGTGATTGAGCACATGTGGCAGGGCCAGCCCTCCAGAAGAAGGTGGGCACACAGGCAGGCGTTGCCTGCTCCTCCTCAGGGAAGGGCTGGAGCAAAGGGATTGCCTGCTGCACACCGTGAAGAGTGGACTGGATGGGTAGGTGGGAGGAAATGAGTGCCCTTTCTTGGTAATCTTGTTTCTTTAATCTCATATTAAATGTTTTTCTAATGACTGGGCTGGGCCGCAGGTCTCCTGACTGGCTCAGTGTGTTATTCTATGTCAGTGTTGGGGTGGGGTAGTATGTCTCTGTGTCGCTTAGAGGGAGAAGGCACAAACCTCCACAGGGGTTAGCGTGAACCAGGCCTCCTTTCCCAGAGGCGGATGAGAGCTCTTGGTGCTTTGGTTGCATGGCCGGGTTGTGCTGGGTTGGGGATGGGCAGCTCTTCCCTCATTTTGCATGTCGGATCATTCTGAGTATTTCAGTAGAGATTTCAGGGAACAGAAGTGGAGTTTAGGGCCTGACGGAAGCTGGTCTGTGTGAGCCGCCTTGGCATCATGGCTGTTCACTGAAGGGTCCCCTGCTGTCGCAGGGCATGGTGTCAGGACAGATGGCCTTTGGAGGCCATTGGTGATGAAGGTGAGGGATGTAGAAATTACATCCTCTGACTGTGAAAACAAAAGTGCAGGTCTCCACACCCCTTCTTTTTGGAATCAGTAACTGTCAGCAAAACAGAAAACTTTTTTTAAGAAAGTTGTTTGTATTTGACAGTCTCCTGTCAACCCTTGCTTAGTCAATGGTTACCAGACCACTTACTCATGTTTCCTGCTTCTGCAGGTGGCAGTTTGACATTGTACCGCCTCCAGTAGCATTTTTAGAAAGGTGTCCAATGGAAGATTTGCATATTAAAGTCAAACTTCCTGCCTCTAGGAATTCTAAATTTTTATCAAGAATGGAGAGGTAGGTTAATTGTTTCTTGTCCCATTTCTAGTTATTGTCACTTCCCAACTTAGTTTGAACTACTCTGCTCAGGCAAAGGTTGTGACCTTTGAAACTACTTGAATAAATATAATGGGTATCTCCAGAGGCCTCCATTTGGGACCGGCCGACCAGAAAGGAGGATTGCCCTTTAAAAGTGAAACTCCTTGTTTCTTACACAGAGCCTCTCACTCTCCATCCCGGAGAAAGGCCCCCTGTGGGTTGAGCTGGTCTCACGTTGCCTTGGCTTCCTCTTTGGGAAGTGGCTGTGGCCATGGGGAACTGCTCTGCTCTCCACATGCCTTTTGCAGTCATTATTCTCAAAAGCCAGAGAATACAAAGCCAGGAGCTGAAATAGCACCCCATTTCGTCAGTAGTTTCTGAGATGGTCCAGGTGCAGGGGAGATATGCTCAGGGTGCATTAGCCTGTGGGTGTGGATTGGGCCTCCAGTTACAAGTCCTGCCAGCCTTCTGCTGGGCGGACTGATGCTGCCATGATCCCAGCTCTTAAGTTGCTGTTTCCCTCAGACTTTGAGCTTGAGCTGCATGTTGAGGGTTAGTATGTGGTCAGCAGGCTGTTCACTGCCTCCAGGCGTGTCAGGTGTTGGCCTTGGCTCGCCCCTCTGCTGCTCCCTCTCCCTCTAATGGCATGTTTCTCTGTGTGTGTGTGTGTGTGTGTGTCCCTGCCTGACAGCACCCGAGACCTCATTGTGTCCCCAGCACCGTGCTGGGGCCCCGCTGGGTCAGAGTGAGGAGACACAGCTGCTGAGCCAGCGTCACCCCTTCCTGCCGCACCTGGGGCTGGCCTCCCGCCCAAATGGTGACTGGTCCCAGCCCTGCCTCACTTGTGGCCGTGAAGCCCGAGGTGGGATGGTGGTTTGCTTTTCTCCTTCTTAAAAATCCTGGGCAGTTTGCTGGGGGTGTGCTTGGCCTGTCAGTACAGCCAACTCTCTCCCTGTCTCCTTTTGGGCCTTGCAGTCCCACCTTCAGCAGACCCAGGCCCCTCTCTCGCTCTCTTCTTAGGAGCTTATGGCCTGGCCATGCTTCCCTCACACCACACGTCACATGCTGGAAGTTAAGCTGAACGCTTAATTGGAGTGCTGCTGTTTGGGGATGGCAGGGGTGATCGTTCATGCCCTCCCTGCATCCCCAAGCCCTGAAAAATTGGAAGGGGCTCTGTTGTCTGCCAGACCCAGGCGTGGTGGGGCCAGACTTGGCTCGTTGAGCCAGAGGTGTGGTTTAAACCTCACAGTGTCGAGCAGCCCTGAGCACCCTGGGTAGTGCTGGAAGCCATCATTCTTGATGCAGTGGTTCAGGCCTTGCTGAGGAGAAAATGCGATTGTTTTCATTTCTCAGTTAACTGCCATCCTTCCTGAAGTCCCCATTACCGTGGCAAACAGAGTTAGCTGTGCTGTCAATTCTAGGCCACAGTGTTTGAAGATACCTCGTTCAATGAGTAACTAAACAGGCAGGGCTTCTCTTTTGACTAATTAATAATGTATCCTGGTCAGAGTCTACAACTGTTTCAGGTAAACTGAGAACAGATTTTCACTGTTTCCTATGAGAAAATGTTCTCAGTCTAATCTACCTTCAGTCCCAAGTGGGGCTCTGGTGCAGAGAAGAAAGCTGTCTATTCTCTCCTGCTCTTACTGGAAGGGGCACTAATGCAGAGTCTTTGTGAGGCTTCCCGGCTAGAGCCGGCCTTTATGCAGCCCTGGAGACAGTTCCTGCTCACCCACGCCTCATTAACATTCTTGTCTGACTTGGGTATTTGTGCGTGATCACTACATTGAGCTTGGGGATATTTTCCTTCATGCCCCTGTCTTTTCCTAACAGTTTATACAGGATTTTATAAGGACTGGCTTTGCACTCCAGAGAATGCAAAAGGTCAAAGCACATTAACGGGCACTTGAATTACGCACCTGTTTCTCCCACCAGATCTTTGGGCACAGTTCCCAGCAGGCTCCCAGTGTTCCCTAGAACGCTGGGAAGTCCCCTTTGTTTTTCCCAGCTTCTGCCCATTCAGTAACTGGTAAGGTCTATTTTGCATCTCCACAGTTAACTATGTATTCACCTGGCCCTCCAGCTCTCTGGGTGGCAGATTGGGTTTGCAGGACATTTGCTTATTAAAGTCAGGCTGCTGCCCTCAGCCACCCTGGCTGCTTCCTCCCTCTGTGACCAGTACCAGACACCTGCTCCACCAGGCCAGGCCTGGGGCCCCTCTGCGCCTTTGCCTGTCCAGTTCCTTCCATGTGGGTGGCTTCCCTGAACATACACATTTGGCACGTTTCTCAAGGTATACAGCACATGTGGGTCCTCTGCTCCGTCATTTCTAGTAGAAATTAAGGATAAAAATGACTTGGGTTTTTGTCATTGCTTTTTGTTTTCTTTTTGTGTTTTCTCATGCCTCAGGTGAGTTTCGGGCAAACAGGTGTTCCATGGTGTCCTTCCTTAACTGTTTAGTGTGTGCATTCCTCTCCATATCTCACACCTCCCTGTCCTGGGGGACTGTCGGTGGGCAGGACCCCATCCCATGGCTCCTCTCTGTTTTTTCTTAGCATGTAACACAGTGGTGGGCGTAAAGTACATGCTTAATGTATGCACAGTGGCGGATTTGCTTTGAACAGACTAGCTTGGAATCCAGCAATGATGCCAGACAGATGCCAGCATTCAAAAAATGGTCTCGTGAAATGCAAGCTGTGACTTGGGAGACAGCTGTGAGGGACACACTTAGGGTCCCAGATCCTGCAGAGAGAAGGCCTGAGGGGCACGGGTGCAGACTCAGGGCAGGGGAGGAGAGGGGCAGGCTGCTGAGAAGGCTCCTTCCTGGGAGAGTGGGCACTGTAAGAGGCGTCCCAGCTCTGGCCGCTGTCTGACCCACGGTAATCATGATGGTGTTTGAGGAGAGCTTCCTTTCATGTGCCATACCCATGTGATCATCCCTGGGCTTCCTACCTCCCTCTCACCTCCCACTACATTTGTAGATCTGGCCTTAGAAACCTCTCAAATTTTGCTCTTCATCTCTATAGTTCCATGGCCTCAATTCAGCACTAGCTTTCTGATTGGTTCCCTTGCTGTTATCCTCCCCCATTCTTATCCATCCTCCTCCTGTATAAAAGATGGCCTGGGTCCTGGGTCACAGAAAGCTCATCTGGATCCCAGGGGTCCCTGCAGGGCCCAGCCCAGCGCCTGTGACATGGCAGACAACTCCGTCTCGTGGTGGTCCTCGGCTGCCCTCTGCCAACTCAGGTCTGCTGATGTGTCCCTCAGGGTGCCGCTCCTGGGTTCTCCGTATAGCTGGCCCCACCTGTGCTCTGGCCCCCACATTCCCTTGTGCACTCAGCAAGTGCCTGTGGAGTTCCCACAGCGAGCCAGGCCCTGTGCTAAGAGCAAGCAGAGCCTCCTGCCCCTACCTCTGGGGAGAAAGACAATAAATATGAGATACAGCATGTTACGTGATGAGTGCTCTGGAAAACAGCAAAGAAAACCTAGAAGTGGCCCAGCTGAGTATGGGTAGGAAAGGGTGTTTTGCAGTGCTGAGGGTATTGGGGCAAGCCTCTGGGAGTGAGCTGTGTGAAGGGCTAGAGCAGCATTCCAGACAGGCCAGGAGCAGCAGTGCGGCGCACTGAGGTGGGACTGTGCTCAGGGTGTCTGCGGAACAGGAAGGTGCCGGTGTGCCGAAGCCGAGCCAGGGAGAATGGCAGGGGAGGGCAGGCCAGAGGGTGGAAGAGAGTGGGCCTGGAGAAGGCACAGGCCCGGGAAGGCGCGGGGCGTCTCTCAGACCACCTCTGGCAGGGGGCACTTGTTTCAATCCCTAGCCCATCTCTGATGGATGTGCTTGTGTCAGTGTTTGG